GGCCTCAGGCAGGAAGGATCCCCATAGCTGCATGAGGAGCAGCAGGGATCTCCCACAGCTGGATGAGGAGCAGCAGGGATCTCTCCCCCAGCTGCATGAGGAGCAGCAGGGATCTCCCACAGCCTGGAATTCCCTCATTCCCACTGCAAAGCCCCCACACCTGAGAGATGCTGTGAGTCCCCTGGGCAGCTGCATGCCGTGTGTACCCATTTAGGAGCTCTATCAACACAAAGACACCGAGAATGAAGAAACATTGGCGGGGTTTCACATGCACAGACTGCCAGAAACAATGAGAAAAGGGAAATGCCACCTGAAAGGATGGGAGCTTGTTTGCCGAGAAGCCTCTGGGCTGAGGGTTTAAATAGAGCAGAGCACGGGGGAAGCAGCTGAAAGGGGAAGCGTTTCATCCTAATTTGAGACAACAAAGAATAGGCCTTTGTGGAAGGGATGAAAACACTTCTGCAGGCCCGGAGCAAGGCGCCTTTCCCAAAGTGTGCAGCAGCAGCCGTGCCCCATCTGCACAGCCCCGCCTGGAACGGGCAAACACGGCAGGGAAAGCACCCGGAGCAGCCACACAAACCCTGCAGAGAGCTCACAGCCGTGGCAAATCCCTCCCTCGGCAGCGCTGGGGCAGTCACAGGGTCGGGCTGAGCCGAGCCCTTCCTGCTCAGACGCAGCAGCTGCCAGCGGCGTGACCGGGACCGTGTCCTCTGTCCCCTGGCACCCCGCACATGGGCTGCTCCTGCCAGCTCTGCTCATTCTGCTTCAACCCACCCCAAAAACAGCGTGCCCGTGTCCTCTGTCCTGGCACCCCTCACACGGGCTGTTTGTGCCAGCTCTGCTCATTCTGCTTCAACCTGCCCTAAAATGAGCACCTGCAGAGGGACCGTGCCCGTGTCCTCTGTGCTGACACCCCTCGCATGGGCTGCTCTTGCCAGCTCTGCTCACTTCTGCTTCAGCCACCCCAAAAACAGCTCCTGCAGCGTTTTGGGGGCACCCAAGCTGCTCCCAGCCCAAGCACTGCGGGGATTTTGAGCAATGAAACAGGGCATTCGAAGGGGAGCCAAGGCCCAGCCCCACCTCCGGTACAAGTACAGAGAGATCCCCTGCGGGACCCAGTCCTTGACAGTTGTCACCGAGAATTGTCACCGATCACTGTCCCAGCGCCACGGCAGTGCCCCACGCAGCCAGGGAGCGCTCTCCTATCCCCTCCTCGCCCTGCCAGCGGCTCCCATCTGCCGGGCAGAGCCACCTGCGGCCCTTCCCCAGCTGGCACAGGTGGGGAGGCAGCCCTGGGCACCCCGAGGGCTCCAGCCCCGTTCCGGGAAGGAGCAGCCCAGGTGGGAGCGCTCAGCCACAGCTGCCCGGGCAGGTCCGGCCTCCAGGCTCGGCTTTACCAATGCAGAGACTGAGTCTGGGTGAGCTCTCAGCGCTGCAGGTTCAACGCAGCTGAAGTGAAACCAGCCCACCCGCGGGCTGCAAACCCTGCCAGGCTCCCGGAGCATCGCTGCGCTGCGGCATCCCGGCCCCAGCTCCCATCCAGCCGCACATCCCTGCTGGCCCTTCCCGCTGTGCCAGCCGCCGGGAGCCCAGCAGCCACAAGCTGAAGCTGCTTTATTTTTCTTTTTTCTTTCCTTTTTTTTTTTTTCCCCCAGTGGCAGAGCTTGAAATCAGAGATGAACAAGCCTGAAGGAGCTCCCGCCTGGCCCCTCATGTATTCCAGATGCACATGCTCCAATCGCCGCTTGCCAAACAGGATACGAGGCGCAAGGAAATAAAGCATTTTATCTTCAAGCTTTTCCAAGAGGGTATTAGAAACAATGGGGAGGAAATACAAAATTAACACTAGAGAAGAGCAATTGGCAGTGCCCTCGCGAGGCTGTTCTTCATCACAAGGCTGCCTATTCAGCGGCTTTCATTAGGAAAATCACATCGCAGAGCCATTCCCAATAGTGTCCCTATTTCCTAATTAGGCTTCGCCAAAGAGCTGCATCTCTCAGTTCCCGCCCGGCGCACAATCACAACAATTACCATTTCATTGCACCCGGCCGCCGAAAACACCGCAATTAAAGCATCTGAGGAGTCACACGGGCGCGTCAGCAGCGAGACAAGTTCTCACGTCGTGCTAATTGGCGGCCAGAGAGGGATCAGCAGGACGGGAACGGCGGGGTTCGGTCTCCGTGCTGGGAAAGGCGCTCGGGAGCTGCGGCCGCTCCCCCCGGGAGCCGCGGACGGGGCTCGGTGCCAGCGAGGAGCGCTGGGGACGGCTCCTGTCCCCCTCCGGGCTGCGGCACCGGGAAAGGCTGTACGGACCCCCGGGAATGTCCTTGGGTCACAGCCCGTCACCAAAGGGCCCTGACCCAGCCCCGGGTGAGGCAGCCCTGGGTGGGGTGCAGGTGTCACCTGGAGCGCCCCGCGATGGCTTTGGGTGGGTGGGACCTGTACTCACACCGGATATGAGGGACGGGACAGGGATGGGGAGTCCTGAGCCTCGGAGGGAAGGGGTGCAAAGGAAAGAGGAGGGAAAGAGCTGCAGGGCCTGGATTGCACCCACAGCTCCCATTTCCTCCAGGCAGCGACATTTCCAGCCCGAAGCAGCAAAGCACAGAGCTGCAATGTGGGCAGCAGGGCGATGCCCAGGGAGCTGGGGGGCAGTTTCCGTATAAACCTCATCCTCCCTCCCCATCCCCTCACCTGGAAGCTCAAACCGCTGCTAGGAGCAGAGCTCGGACACAAAAGGAGCCTCTCGCTGCTCACAAGAACCTGGGGCACTCACCTGAGTGACACCCTCAGGCACAGTTCTCCCCTTGCAGAATAAAAATGCAAAACTGGGCAGCCCGACTGCTCAGCGGGCACCCAAGAAAGAGAAGTGGAAACTGCTCCAGGGTGAGCAGCAGCATGGCAGGGTCCCCACGCCGAGCTGGGCTGTCCCTGGTGCCCAGCAGAGGCAGAGCAGTGACGCTGGCAGCCCTCAGCCCCGCGGCTGCTGCAGCACGGGCAGCTCGCCCTGCCAGAGCAGCTCATCCCGCTGGAGCAGCCGCTGCTCCTCTGTGCCAGCACTTCCCACTGCTCTCAGTTCTTCCTTCTCAGTGCTAAACCCACATCTTCATTTCCACATTCAGCGAGAGGGCACTCGGGGCCACTCCTGGTTGGTTTCTGTCCCAGCTGGATGCCCTGATCTCCATGGAGGAGGGAGAAGCCAGCGGCACCATCCCACAGCCCGAGGTGTGGGGCTGCCCCTCACCCAGCCGAGGCACAGCAAACTGCACTTTCTCCCTCTGAAGGGGCACCTCGAACACATCTCCTGCCCTTTCCTCTGCCCTGAGCGGCTGCAGAGCTGCGGGAGCCGGACGGGGGTGCCCACACAGGGCCGGGAAAGGCAGAGCACTGAGCTCACATCCCAGCCCCTGCCACAGCACACCTGGAAAGCTGCAGAGCACCCTCAGCATCACCTGAGCCCTCCAGCCTCACACAGTCACCGTGACTGAGGGGCAGAACCACTGCCACCACCACAGCCAGGCTCTGCCTCTTTATCTTCTCACCTTTCTATGTTTGAGCTCTAATCTGAGCAGCGCCCAGAGCTCCAAACCGCTTTGCAACCAGGTTTCGGAAACACTTCACAACTCCATCCGTGCGTGTGCTTTGAACAAGAGAAAAACCCAAACACCAAATCAAGAAACCTTTCTGAGAGCAGGAAATCAAAGCCTTGACATCCTGCATAATCCCTGGAGTTTGCAGCGGACCGAGATTTAGAAAACTGACCTGAATGGGAGAACAGAGCAAATTGCAGCTGTGCAGCAGCAGGGCAGCAGCAGGAGCAGCCCCAGCCCGCAGCTGCCTGAGCAGTTTCGCTGCCCCGGGAGCAGCACGGCCCGAAACCAGCCCTGAGCACAGCACACGGTGCTGGGGACAGCAGCCAGCTTGTCACAAACATCAAAACAAAGCGCTGAAAGCTCTTTTCTCCCGCTTTCGTTAGTGATTTGAATCAGCGGAGCCTTTTTCTCCCTCAGGGCTCACACCTCCCAAGCAGCTCTGAGGGAGCTGGGCCGGGCACTGCCCGGGTGGCACTGGGAGGCCACAGGAGCAGCACCTGATGGGAGGGAGATGCTCTGGGCAGACACAGCGAGCAGCACGGGCTGCTTGAGAGGCAGCGCGGGCACGGCCCGGGGCTGGCGCGTCTCCAGCCCCCGGTGCTGGAGGGCGACGCTGCTGAGCTGCTCACATCCCAAACCACATCCTGTTGCCAAAGCAGCGCCTTCCCGGGGCTGCTCCTCAGCCCCCCGGGCAGCCCGAACCCGGCTGAGGGAGCGGCCGGTGACCTTTGGGTCCCTTCAGGGAGGGCTCCTGTGCAGTGCCCGGGTGAGTCACCGCCTGCAGCCCTGCCAAAGCCCCGGAGGGGAGCGGAGAGCCCCCGGCATTTCCCGGGGACCCCGCCGCGGCACGGGGGTCCCCTGGGGCGGGCAGGGCCCCACACCTGGCCCCGAGCGGTAGCTCCGTGGGGCCACGCGGAGGAAAACAAACACAGAGTCCCGAAATGAGTCACAGCAGCCGGGCCGTCCCCACCCGGGCTGACACCGGCTCCTCCTGGTCAGGTACGGGCTGCAGGGGCACCCTCCAAGGTGCCAGAGAAACCCCAGCCCTGGCAGTGACACCCCGCTGGGGGGTTTGAGAAGTGCCCCCAGTTACACACGAGCCCCGCACGCCGCCGCTTTCTGTCCCGCTCCTGTCCCCCCATTTACAGCGAGCCCCCGCCAGCGACACTGCCCTCTCCGGGCACGGCCGTGCCCAGCGCACCAAGCCCCAAGCCGCGGCTTCCACGGACACCCGGGAACACAAGAGAGCCCTTCCTCCACGTACACGGGGTGCACGGTCCCCCCGCCCCGGTCACAGGAACACCCGGGCTCGGTGCGTGCACGGTCACCCTGTCCCGGTCACGGGGACACCCCTGGCTCGGTTCATGCACGGTCCCCCCGCCCCGGTTCTCCCCCCGGCTCTCTCACCTGCGGGGCGGCTGCCGCCGGGGCTCCGTGCCCATCCTCGCCGGCCCCGCCGGGCTCCGCTCCGCGCCGGGCGGCACCGGCGGCACCGGGGCGGGCGGGGCTGGCGGCGGGCCCGCCCCGTACATGTGCGCGCCCGCCCCGCCCCGGCCCTGCCCCGGCACCTGCCCCCCGCCCCCCGCTTCCTCCGCCCGCCCAGCCCTCCGTGCTTCCCTCCCTCCATCCATCCATCCATCCATCCATCCATCCATCCATCCATCCATCCATCCATCCAGCCAGCCAGCCAGCCAGCCAGCCAGCCACCCCTCTGCTCCTGCCTCCCTGCCTGCACCCTGCCCTTCACCCAGCCAGTCATCCATGGATACCCTCTTCCATCCATGGATCCCCTCTTCTGTCCATCCATGGATCCCCTCGTCCATCCATCCATGGACCCATCTATTGTGGTACCATCACCACTTTCCCTTCCACCCTTCACTCTTCCCTTCATCCACCCCTCCTTCTGTCCCTTGCTCCTGCCATTCTGCCCCTGATCCCTCTGTGCATCCACCCACCATCCTGCTATCCATCCATCCATCCTTTCTTCCATCAATCTCTCCCTCTTTCCATCCATCCATCCATCCATCCATCCATCCATCCATCCATCCATCCATCCATCCATCCATCCATCTCTCCATGTCTCCCTCCCTCTCTCCATTCCTCCATCCTGTGTGTGCTGTTTTCCTTCCCTCCCCACACTGCCCTGTGTCACCTTTGCAGGACAAGCCCCCAGCCCCTCTGTGCCAGCACCAAGCCCGGGCTGGTGACACCAGGCTGGGACGTGCTCCTCTGGTGGCACCTGGGAATGGCCTTTTCCTGTTGCCCTGGAGGCTGCTCCTGAGCAGAGGCTGGTCCCAGCCTGGTTTCTGCCCCATACCTGTCCCCTGTGCTCGGGGCTGGGTCCCGCCCAGCCGGCGCTGGGGCAGGAACCCGGGCAGGTTCCTCTGCGGATTTTGGTTTGTCGAGGAGAGTGACCGCTGCGTCTGCTGCTCTGAGAGTCGAAACCTGCTCGGGGGCCAAAATAGCTGTGGGTTCAGCAGTGAAATTCCAGTGAATTTTAAAAAAAGCAAGCGCAGTCAGAGCCGAAATCCCCTTTCGTTGGTGGCCCACGGAGACAAACGCCGCTGCGCAAAGCACACACAGTGCCTGCGTCACCTGCGCCAGGTGAAACCCCAGGGAGGGACATGGACCCGGCCTCCACCAGCTGAGCGGCCACCAGCAGTTCAGAAGAAATCCTGGGGCAGCAAAAATAGCGGGACAGGGAAGGTCAGGTGGCGATGTCACGATGTCACGATGTCACGGTGCCACCTGCCCCAGGGCGCTGAGCTGGGAAACAGCCAAGGGCTCCGGCAGAGCTCTGTGTCCCAGCTCCTCCTGGCCACAGCTCTTCACTGGGCGCCAGCCTGGGATGCCACTCTGACCTTTCCCACCCCTCCTGCCCATTCCCACCTCCTCATTTCAGAGCCAGCTGCTCAGGCTGAGAACTGAACCCCTCCCTGAACTGAAGAGCTGGGAAGTGTCTGAAGGGCCAAAGCTGCAGAGGCCAAACTGCTCTGGCTGCTGGGGCTGCAGCGTGTCCCCACCTGAGGCCCGGGCAGCTCCTTGTTTTGCTCCTGGGGGCCCGGGGCAGCTGAGGAAGTTACCAAACATGGCCTGGGGGGGCTCGTGGCGGCGGAAGGAAGCGGAGGAGGGCAGGGAGGGGCCGTGCCAGGGCTGCAGCAGTGACAAACAGCGCGTGGGGCCACCAGGCTGCCGCAGCCAGCTCGGGGAAAGGGCTCTGGAGCAGGGCCGCCTCCAGGAGATGTCAGCATCAGCATGTTCCCGGGAGCTCCTGGAGCAGGGAGCTGTGTTCCTCCTTATTGCTGGCTGCTCTGAGCTCAGGGGAACCTGGGGGTGGTGGTGCCACAGCAGGCAGCAGGAAGTGATCCCAGGTGGCTTTTAGGGTCACACAGAGAGCAGGAATGGTATCCCCAGTGGTCACCCCCAGGAGAAGGGGTAGCACTGAGTGTGGCAGTGGTGACACCAGCAATGATGAAGCTGTTGGAGCTCCAGCCAGAGCAGGCCATGGAGCACCAGCAGGTCTGGCACATCCCAGCTCAGCTCCTGCCCCTGGAGCTGCCACCCAGCCCCCTCCTCCTGCAGGAGGAGGAAGCTGAGGCTGTCCTCTGATGAGCTCATTTAGACCTCTGGGTTCTCTGTGAACACCCCAGAGACAAAGAATGGGTTGGTTGGAAAGGACCTTAAGGTTCTCTTGTCCCAAACCACGGCAGGTGAAGAGACACCTTGAACTGAACCAGGTGCTCCAAGTCCCATCCAGCCTGGCCTTGGACACTGAAATTCACCTTGCACTGAATTCAGTTCATCACAGCCTTGTTCCCATTCCTCTCTGCCCCACACCCAGACACACTCCCTGAAATAGCACCTCCACCCCAGCCCCACACTGGGAATGGAGCATTTCAGCCCCCCAAAAATGCTAGCACATCTCCCCGGGATGCTGCTGCTGGTGCCCAGAGCAGGGATTTCCAGCGGCTCTGGGATGCTGAGCTGTCCTTCCACAGCCCCGGGGTGCTGCTGGGGCCGCGCAGATCCAGGTGAGCCCGCTGCTCCCCCGGCCCTGAGCTCCCCAGGAATGGGATCCCAGCCCTGCAGGGCCACTCTCAGCCTCCTCCTCCTCCTGTCCTCGGAGGGAAGGGGAAGCAGCGTCACTGAAAAGGGAACCTTCTTGCTCTGGTTTTCCCCACAACTTGTGTTTTTCATTTCTCAGAGCACACTCAGAGGATCCTGACAGGTTCTTCCGCAGCTCTTGAGAAATGAAACTGGGGCAGAGCCCTCGCTGTGGGCAGCGCTGACCCCAGACCTTCCCCTTCCACCTGCCGTGGAGGAGGAGACGGCAGAACTTTGCATGACCCAGTCTGCTGAGGTGTGGAGGGTTTTGTGGCCGGTTCTGGGCTGGGAGGGCTCCAGAGCTGTCCCAGTTTGGGCAGATGAGTCTGATCTGATCTGATCTGATCTGATCTGATCTGCCCTGGGGCTGCCGGCACTCCCAGCTCTGCGCTCAGCCCCGGCTCCGGGGGACAGACACTCAGCCGAGGCTGGAGCGCTCTGCTCACTGCTCAGCACGGCATTCCTGCCCAGATCCGTGTCCGGCGGAGCCCCGGCAGGGGCAGAGCGCTGGCAACAGCCGGGCCGGGAGCGGCTTTCCCGCGGGCTGAGGTTTCCACCCCGTGTCCTGCCGGAGAACTGCACCGATGGAGCGGGCTCAGCATCCCCCGGCTGCAGCTCAGCCGGACACTGAATCCCTGGAAAACCCTCTCCAGGAGTGCTCTGCCTCTGGCAGCCCCCCGGGTCAGCCCAGGGGAGCAGGGACGATGTGAGCGCTGAAATTCCGCGGGTACCGTGCTGTCTGTGGCTGCCCTCTGATTCGGACACCTCAGAGCCTCCGCAACCAGCAGCACCTTCACTTCCCAAAGCAGCACAGCTCCTGTGAGCTCCTCAGCAATCCAACCGGGCTCTGGGAGCTCGCTCTGGGCACTGCCAGCTCGGCTGTGCCCAATGGAGCTCAGTCTGGTCACTGCCAGCTCAGCTGTGCCCACACCAGGACTCGCTACAGCTCCTGATGGCACTGAATAAATCTGGGCAAAAAATGAATAAATCTGGGCAGTGCCTGGAGCTGGCTGCACGCTGGGCCTGTGCGGGGCTCCCCCAGGCCTGGGGACAGCTGGAAATGTCCCAAGACAGCCCCACACACCCAGAGGTGGAGCTGGCAGCGCTCAGGGCTGAGACCAGGGCAGTTTGTTGTCCTTCCCCTGACACAGTCCTGTCACCCAGCACAGCCACAGGGCACCGAGGCAGCACCGCCCAGCCGTGTCCCACCCCTCACTGCCACCGCCCCTCCGCCTCTGGGTGCACATTTTATCATGGCCAGGGTGTAAATCAGGTGTAAATCTGAGTATAAACCAGAGTCCTGCACCCTCAGGAGCTGGGTTCTGCCTTCCCAAATGCAGGGGCTGAAATACTTCAGCGAGGGACATCCCAAAGTCTCACTGTGATATTTTATGAGAATCCTTTCACTACGAATTTCTCCTGAGAAGCTGAGAAGCCTCAGAAAAGAAATATAAACAACAGGTGTCTGATAAGGCTGTGTGGAATGTGGTCTGGAGATGGTTTACCAACAGGTGCATGTTTGATTGAGCTCATGTGAATTAAATGTACTTGATGACCAATCAGGCTCCAGCTGTGTCGAGGCTCTGAGCAGTCACGAGTTTTTATTATTCATTCTTTTCTAGCCTCCTGATGTCTCGTTTCTTTAGTATAGTTTTAGTATATCATTTTCCTATGATATGATATGATATGATATGATATGATATGATATGATATATAATGTAACATAATGTAACATAACATAACATAACATAACATAACGTAATATAACGTAATGTAATGTAATATCACATAATATACTATACTATACTATACTATACGATAATATAATATAATATAATATAATATAATATAATATAATATAATATAATATAATATAATATAATATAATATAATATAATATATCAGTCTTCTGAAACATGGAGTCAAGATCCTCATCTGTTCCCTGGTCCTGGGGACCCTCAAACACTGCCACTCCAGAGGAGCAAGGGACAGCCAGGATCCTCAGCCGAACACTTGGGGCTGTTTGGGGTTTTGCTCCCACACGAGGCCGCAGCGGGAGAGGGTCGGGACCACAAGAACAAGGCCGGGGATCCCGTGCCCTTCCCCTTGCAGCCCCCTGGAGGGTCGCTGCCCCGTATAGGACCCGTCCCGTCCCATCCCAGCCCGGCGCTGGGACCCCAGCAGATGGCAGCAGGGCCTCAGGCTGAGCTCCCTCCTGTGGATCGCCTCTTCCCGCGAATTTCCTTTTTCCCGGCTCGCTTTAAGTGAGAGTAATCACTCCGTGCAAATCCACTGCAGATGCTCCTTGGGATAAGCTGGATGGGAGAGGGACATTTTACTTTACCCTGGTGACAAACTCG